GAAAGTCACACATCATTTTCAGTACTGAAAACAAATTCAAGAGCACTTGTTTTTGGTGTGAAAATCTATGAGCTATTTGTAGAGTGTGACAGCTGTAAATGGTCAAAGCAGCCTAAAACTGCCCATTAAAAAGGCAAAGAAACAAGATTATCTGTGTGCAAACTACTGGTTATGTGTTGGCTTATGTTTTCTTTGACTTGAAGCATGGGTCACTGAGAAGGAGCTTTGCATGCCTCCTTTGATGGTCTTGAGAGGCTTTTCTAGCCAGTTTTTTTTTGTCTAGAGTACAGACAGCAATCAGCAGATGAGAAACTGAGTGGCCATCAGAGGTGTAGCTGAAAAGCCTGCTGGTTTGGACTTACACTCCATGAGCAAAGCAGTCTCCCCTGGTAAAGATGAATGAAAGTGAAAATCTGGAGAATTATTAAATACCTGTTTCCCATATTTTCAGAAAATAATGCTAAGTTTCCATGAAGAACAAGAAGTATTGCCAGAATCGTTCCTTGCTAACTTCCCATCTTTGATAAAGATTGATATCCACAAAAAAGTGACAGATCCCAGTGTGGCCAAAAGTATGATGGCCTGCCTGCTCTCTTCTCTAAAGGCTAATGGTAAGTTTCTTGCACTTAGAATTCCTTGTTTCCAAGCTACATGTCATTTCTAGGGTGCAATGCAAATTTTGGAAGATTTGGGTAAATGATTACAAAAGCTTTTGAACAGCTAACTTCTGCTTCCTTGAAAAAGGGTGCTTTTCATTTTAGCCATTATCCTGCAAATTAGACAGAACTGAGGGAGCAATTTAGCACTGAGAGCACACATCTTTACATCTTGAACACTGCACAAAAGTCTATATTTTCCCTGCTGGCATTGGTAATGATGCTTTTTTTGAAGTTTGGCTGTGTGCAGTGGTGAGTAATTACCAAACCTTCAGTATGGGAAGTGCTTGGCTGCCTGCCTTGACTGCACTCTCAGTTCCTTTGTGCCACTTGGTGCCCTCTTGCAATGCTGTTTTTGGAGCCAACATCAGATATTTTTGTGTACAGTGGAAGGTGTGCAGAGGGTTAGTTCAGACTGATGGATGCCTGCAGTGTGCAGTCCTGTTAGGGGATGGTCAGTTGTGCTGCCATGAATCTGGACTCTTGGGCACTATGCTCCATGTGGAATTAGTTCACTGATTTACCTGCTAAAATAGGTGGGAACTTTAGGAATATTTTATGTCTATGCTTTTTACAGTAACTCTTCTCCTACAGTATTTTATTTCTTTTCTTTCTTCTTCAGGCTCCCGTGGGGCTTTTTGTGAAGTGAGACCAGATGATAAAAGAATCTTGGAATTTTACAGCAAGCTGGGTTGTTTTGAAATTGCTAAAATGGAAGGATTTCCAAAGGATGTTGTTATCCTTGGAAGAAGCCTTTGAAGTGCTTGAGAGCCAACTGTTCCAGTACTGTAGACCCATAACAGCTGGGCAGGTAGTGGTGGGGATCTTCATATGGTCTAACTGCACAAAGCCAGCAATAAGTCAGCTTGCTAAAAGGGGCTATGCGAAAATCACCCATCACACATTCAGACTGTAATTTGTTGGAAGGGGATAATGCTGCTGAAAACATTGTTATAACAAAGAGAAACCTTGTCCTCTCCTGGTCCTGTGTGAAGTGCCAAGGAATCTTGCATGGGCTATAGCTTCTCAGAGGAATCCCTCTCAATCAGTGCTGTGGTTGACGACAGTTCTCTGCATTCAAGTGTCAACAGAAAATTGGCCTCTGGCAGAATGCCTATAAAAATGCAGGTTTTTTTTCTGTGTCATAGAGCAGAATGTGCAGTTGGAAGTTGCAGAAATGGGAGGGATTGCTTGTTTCAATCAGCATTTTTGAAGATAAGTAGTTACAATTCTGTTTTCTACTACCTTTGCGCTTGTTGATAAAGCAATGACCCGTTGTCACTTCTAACGACCATTGGTTCAAGCTTTGTGTTTTGTTAGGGACAAATGTGCAGTGTCTGTGGCAGAAGTCACTCAATGACAAACTTGTAAATCTCAGTGTATATAAACTTAGCTGTATGCTGACTAACTTTTTGTTTACTGGTTTTTGTAACTTTTTTTTTTTTGAAAGTGAAATTGTGTAGGTCCAAGATGGCACTTTTGAAAAATCTAAAACCACAATCGAGAACCAGTCTGTCCTCAGCACTGACCTTTCTTACTGTGCCTCATATCCAGGGCTAGGAACTAACCATCTTGGGAAAGGGGAGCAGATCCCAACTGACCCTTCCTTCAGATAGCAGTTTGTCACTGCTTGAGGGTATCATTCTCCTGGGACTGAAACAGCAATTCACAGGATGCTTTGCTGAACCTGTTAATTTTGGTAATGTTCGCATGGGATTATGGATGAAAGATGGTGAGAGGGAGAGAGAGCTGGCCCACAGCTGGGATTTGTCCTTGGAAGAGTCACCATGTTTCAAAGCCTGTTCGTACTAGTTTGATTAAATCAGGGTCTTCAAGTCCTGCACATTTGTATCAAATAACTTTTCTATAAGAAATGCCACAATAAGCACATTTTTACACATTATTTAAATGGTTATCTACTTTTAAATGTTCCGAGAGTTTAATGTTTTTACCCAGGACGGACATGCTTGGTGATGGGATGGAGCTGGTGTCGTATGGGACCTGGTAGGTAGTTGGATCATTTAATGGGAATGGTATTTCACAGTAGTCCCAGTGTCCCAGACAGGTGATTGGACAATGGTACGCACTTTGCAGTACTTTGTTTCTTCCACCTGTTGCCATCAGCTGTCTATATCTTATGTTTAAATTTTCCTGGGGTTTTTTCCAGTGGTGCACAAAGGAAGCTTGGTTACTCTTACAAGCCTCCAGCTGCATAGAAGTCGATTTGCAACCTGTAATGAATGGCATTAAGACTGCAGTAATGCTCTCTGCAACCTGTAAGGAGATGCTGTGTTTGGCCTTCTGGTGCAGTCACGTGCAAGATGGTTTTTGTTTTTTTTTTTCTTTGCAGAATGTGAATGATTTTTAATGCGGTAGCGAAGTATTTAAGTTGAAACAAGTTCATTTCATTTTTAGAGAGAGGTATGGGGTTGTGCTGTGGGATTTCATTAAGTCCAAGCTGAATGCCACTAGTTTTTATACAGCTTTGAGTGCATGTTGAGTAGCTGATACCTTGATTTACCAGGTGGGAGAGTTTTGTTTCTTCACGGATACCAGACTTATTTTATCTGGATGCATAACATTACAGCATAGGATGCTTGTGGCCTTATTTCTTGGCTTTTAAGGAGTTGCCACATTTTCTCTTCCTATGAATTTGTTATTATTATAGAAGTTAATTGTCTAAGCCTATGGAATGTCAGGCCAATACCATCCTTCTAGGATTGTAAAGTGATATGTTGACATATCTTTCATGGTTATGAATTTTCATTAAGGTTGGAATGCCACTTTCATTAATCTGTTTTAGATCAACAGTATCTGTAGCAGAAAAAGACCTGTAAAACTGTATTTGAAGACCATGCGAGAAATAGAATAAAAATTGAGAAGTGAATGTAAATAAATGTGTATTTTGTGTATGAACTGGTCCAGAAACAGAAGTAGTTCTGCAACGTACGTTACATCACACTGTGTTTGCCCTCGGGATCAGCTGTCAGAGACTTGTGTCTGGTTTCGGTGTTGGCAGTTGTACATCCACAAAATTTAACTTGGGAACATAAATACGGAGATACCTAAAGCAAGGAGCTTCCCGCTTAGCGTGACAGCTAAGCAAGGGGATGGGCCAGGGGTATGAAGAGCATTTTTTTCCTGAGGTCACTTCACAAGAGTTTGTCCACCTGCTGCACAGGTGCTGGTGTGGTTCAGAAGCTGTGCAGTGTGGAGAACAGGATAATGCACAAACCAAGCAGGGAAGTTAGCAGGTGAAAATTTTCTCCTGGCCGGGTAAATGTTCTCTGTTAAAATTAGTAATGTGTTGCATATAGGTGGCTACATTTTCTTAAAGCCTATTTCATGAGGTTATGACAGATTTGTCTCCGTACAACATAACTTGGCATGAGAAAAGGGAGTGTGCTCTAATATTGCACCAGACTCTTTTCCTTTAAGGGAGCATAGTGCAGCCATGGATGCTCCTGCCTCCATCGCTCCAGGGTGGTGGCTGCAGACAGGTCAGGTGGGGTCAGGTGGCTGCGCAGAGCAGCAGCTGAGAAACACATGGTGTGTGCTTGTGTAACCATTGCTGCACGAGCACTTGCTTCTTTCTGGGACCTGGTTCAGATTTTCAAACCACTTCAGTCAGGTTTTTCTTGAACTTACTCCAGCGCAAGCAAAGCGAGTGGCTGGCTAGCAGAGGTCTGTGGTCAGAGCAGAGCCAGGTTCCTCCCCAGAATGCAGTGTGAGCTCGTTGTTAGTGGGGTTTGTTTTAATTTGGCTGCTCCTCTGCACCAAGCAAACTGCTTCCCTTTCTGCTTTGAAAAGCTGGTCCAGCCCTCTCCTCCTTGCCGTAGATTTTGAAGTAGGACGTTGCCCTCTGAGCACAAACGCTCCTGTGCTGCAGTCCCTAGTGTCAGGTCACGCTGCTCTTGCCCGTGTTTAAAGGGATAGAGATGAACAGGTCCCTCCCGTTGAGGCCCTCCCTCCATCCTTGTCACCCTTCTGTCCCCCCAGTACCCCTCTTTATTCCCTCAGCCTCCTGGCTCTGTAGGTGCCCTGTGTCTCCCACAGAGTGCTGGGGCGGCCGCTGCCGTGGGCCGGGATGCTGCCCTGGAGAAGGGTGATAGGTGAGCAGCCGCTAGTAACGGCCGTTTTTCCGGTGCGGCGTTTCCACAGCTGGCGGTGGGGTCAGTAAATGCTGAAGGCCCAGCATGGAAATACCCGAATTAAAGGCTGCGGGGCGCTGCCGCAGGACTCTTTGGTTCGGCCCCCGGGGCGGGGCGGCTCGGCTGGGTACGGCACTGCCCGGCCCGCCCCGCTCCCACACCCGCTCCCACACCCGCTCCCTGCGCCGCCGCCTCATGGAGCCGCGCGGGCCCTCCTGCCCCGGCAGCGTCCTCTTCGGTGAGCGGGGACACGGGCCAGGGGCCAGGGATGAATTAGGGAGGTGACTCACCTAAAGGGGGGTCTGGGACGAGAGGGAGGGTAAGAGAGAACTGGGGGGCAGGAGAGATACGCTGGGGCAATAAATAAGGGGGCAGGAGAGAAGGAGACTTTGGTGGGTAATGGAGACGGCCTGGAGGCTGGAAGGACTCGTGTGGGGGCAATAGGACCGGGGGGGTTGGTCAAAGAGAGACCTGGGGCCAGCAGAGACGCTGTGGGGGAAAGGAGGTAAGACAGAAACGTGGGTATGAAGAGACACGTGGAGGGCATGAAGGGGCCGGCGGGGAGAACGGTGTGGAGAGATACGTGTGTGACCGTGCTTGGGCGGCAACAGGCACATGTGGGGGTCCTGGGGCGGTGTGAGGGGAGCCGCGTGGGGTCTTCGTGTTCTGGCGGCTTTAGAGGGCTGGGATTAACGAGGCGGTGTGTTGGCAGCCCGGCTCTCGCCGGCCTCTCTCGCTCCTCCGGTTAATCCCCCGCGCTCCCACGTCAGCGTTTCGTGGGCGCCTGTCGCAGGGCGGTGGAGCCGTGTCCCTCCTCTCTGGGCGGGGTTTGGGCCGGGCCATGGCAGCCGCGGCTGCCTCGTGGCTGCTCTGCGCTGCCCTGCTCTCAAACGCGTGTGCGGCTCAGCGCACCCTGCCCTGGGCGGGGAGCGGAGTTGCGGCTCCCCCAGGCCTTTTATGCAGCTGGGGTTTGCTGCTCTCTTTGGTAAGTTGAATATATAAGCACGGGAAGAAAGAGGTCCTGCCCCAGGCTGCGCTCTTGAAGGCAGATTCCTCTCCCTTGGAGATGCCGGCACTGGTATGCAGGGCTCAGCTCTGTGTTTTTCCGATCAACCAACCTCACGTTGATGAATCATCTTGCAATAAGTAAAAGCATCCAGGGCAGTTTAGTCCCTCCCTTTGGTCGGCTAAATCCTGATCCTAAGAGTTAAAGGCGTAGTTACACATCTCCCTAGTTTTTGTAACCATCTGAAGAAGTATGTAATAAAATATGTCTCAAAACTTCTCTTGAGGGACTCCAGTTCCCTGCAGTTTGGCCTGGCACAATCCTCCTCTTGGGCTGTGCCTCACAGACACTCTGTGTCTGACTCTGCTTCCAGAGTCCCATCCAAGAAAAAGTTGCACTGGCATGTGCAGAGTCACTGTTTTGTCTGCTCTCTCCTGTTTCCCACAGTGGTGTGCCCTGACTGTTCTGCTCTCCGGAGGGGAAGAACCTTGCCCTGCCAGTGCTTGAGAATCTTGGTTGCCCGTGGGCATTGCTTCATGGCAGCCCGCTTTGGGGACACCAGGTTTTATCCATACATTGTACAGAGGCAGCTGCGTCGTTTCCTGGGACCCTGGAGTGCAGGGTGGCCTGGTCTGATGCTGCTTCTCATGCAAGAAAATAAAGCGTTTTAGGGGTGCCATGAGCATGTCTGGCTAGAGCTCCCCCTCAGAACCTTTGCGTGTAGTGACTGGTGTTGTGTAATGCTTGCTACTGCTTTTCTAATCTCCTCCTTCTAGGCTGTGAGCTGACCGCCAGTACCAAATCCTACACATTTCAGGTGGATGAAGAAGATGACTCTGACCACATTTTAGCACTATCTGTGGTAAGAGAAATGTGAATTAACTGTGCTTGTTCTCTCCTGTAGTCGCCCATATCCTTATACTCCTTTTCCAGGCTCATCCTCTCTTGGCTGGGCTGGATCAGGGGTTCTCAACCCTTGACTGAGGTCTCAGGGCAGGACACAAGAGTTTATCCATCATACGGAGGTGCTTGTGCAAAGCCTGTGGTGGTGGGAGACTGCTGAGTAGGGGGATGCTCCAGGCAGGTGAAGAAAATTATTTTTCCCTTGTATTTAACCTTCCTGGAGCTTCACACTAGATTCACACCAGCTAGGTCTCTGGCTTGTTGCTCCCCAAGCCCAGATAGGTGCAGGGCTTCGTTCCTGGCTCGCCCTGGGGATGTTTTCTATCCTGGGAGTACAGAACCTGACAGCATGGATCGGATCAGCAGAAAATACGGCTCAGGTGCCATCCCTTGAGGTGACTGCAGTAACAGCTGTCACAGCTGGGAAAGGCACGAGCCCTCTCTGAGACAGTCAGGGGACAATTGCTATGGGGTTGTTCAGTGCTCTCCCTGTTTTGTAGAGCAGCATCCCCACACCTTGCATGACATCTGGGCTGGTAGCATTGCTGAGGATTACTTGTCCTGTGGAGAGCTCCAGCTGTCCCAGATGTGTCCCTTGCACAGCATTTGTTCACAATCTCTACTCCCACCCAGGTGTGCCTCACTGATGGTGCCAAGGATGAGTGCAACGTGGTGGAAGTGGTTGGGCGGAACCATGAGAACCAAGAGATAGCTGTGCCTGTGGCAAATCTGAAGTTGTCATGCCAGCCCTTGGTAAGAGGTTGATTTGAAGACTTGGGGGTGGAAGGCTGCAGTGAACAGGACAGCTCGGGATGTTTGTGGATCCTGATGTAGGATCTGCAGCTCACAGACAAATGCCCTGGCTACCCTTGGCCTGGCTGCAGGTGCTCTCAGATGGACATGTTTGATTGGGCTAGGTACTGTACTGGAACTACAGGATATTCTGCTTTTTGCCTCTGCCCCAACTCAGTTTCATCTCTGCTCTTTGCAGCTGAATCTGGACAACTTCAAGCTGCAGCCTCCAGTGACCTTTCGCCTGGCAGCGGGCTCTGGGCCAGTGCACCTTGCTGGCTGGCACAGGATCAGTAAGGACTGAAGGGTTGGGAAAGACTTGGGAGAAGGGAGTGGTATGAAGTGTCAACAATGGCCAGGGAGCCACTGGGAAATGCACTGGATGCTACCTGACATGCATGCTCTGTCTATCCTTTGTGCTGGTTCCCCAGGGGCCATCTCAGTGCAGGGATTCCTTCCCTACCACAAGGCCTTGCATGGGAAAAGGGGTCTGGATATCTCAAACTGTCCCCCTTTTTTGTGTCCGGCTGTCACCATTCCCCTCTGAGACCTCCCTCCAGCTGGGATGCTGCTTATTTCCCACTGTTACCTGCTATGAAAGCTGTTTCAGAGCTCCCTGGGCTGCTCTGCTCTTGGGTTGTCTTGTGGGCCAGTTGTATTTGCACAGACATACATTGGTGAGTAACAGTTACTTGTGTGTCCCAGTGCACAGGGAAGATGCTTCCTTTGAGGAGGACGATGACTTGTCCGAGGAGGATGAGGAGGAGCTTCCTCCTATTAAGCCAGCCAAGAAGTAGGTGGAGGAAGAAGTAACTTGTCTCCAGGCAAGGTGAGGGGCCAGGCTGCCTTGGATCTGGGTGGCTGTGATATTGGTGTGTCAAGTGTGGGTGGAATGTGCTGCTGAAGTCTGCTAGTCTCAACTTGGTTCTTCTCCTAGGTACTCTCTGGGACTTCTCTCCCTGGATGGTTTTTATCTTGGACACCTCTTGCCAGGACCTCAACGTTTGCTGCTTTTTTTTTTTTTTTTTTTTTTAATGCTGTTTTAACTTTTTGAGGGAGCAGGGTCTGCTCCCAGCACTAGGGTGTCTCCTTTTACACAGCCCTGGGAGGATGATCCCAAAGCTGGATGGATGCTGCTGGTATATCCCCTCTCCCAGATCCCTCTTCTGGGAGTTGGGGTTAGAGGAGGTGATCCTTACCCTGTGCCTTTTTGCTATCCTGGACCTCTGCTCTGTGCACCCCCTTTTCCTGGCTGTGAAATACTCAATCCAGGCCCTTCTCCAGCAGATGGATGCAAAGCCAGTACGACAGGCACTTTCACCGATTCTAACATGTTTGCTTTTGCTTACTCACAGTTTGGTGCTTTTTATGTACTTGGAAGTGTGAAAGTGGGGCCCAGGCTCTGTTCTTGACTGCAATTATGGTGGGGTGGGAGCTCACAGTCTGTCTGATTTGGGGGAGGTTCTGGGTCAATCTGCATTGTAAAGAACTGTTCTTACACTCAATAAAGATCTCTCAGGCTCAGGTCTGAAGAAAGGTTACTGCTGGCTGGCAGGTTCTTCCCATGCACACTTCAGTGGGGCAAGTTTGAGCTGTGACCTTTGCTGAGGAGTTGTCTCCCCACGCCTGGGTGCCTGGAGAGGGCTTGATCCTTTCTGCACTTCAGCCAGGTGGCATTTCTGCCCTTAAATGTTTCTCCAGCAGTTTCTCTGCAATCAGTCTTGGATTCTTGGCCCATGTGTCAATGCCTGTGCCAGTCCTCCTTGTCTGAGATGCTGGATGTTGTCCTTTAGAAGCACCATGGACTGTTCAGTCATGCTGGCTCTGTTGATGCCCTGGGACAGGGAGTTTCTCAGTAGTCTGAACTCATGCAGGAAATCCAGGGTGCATCCTCAGCTCAGGCTCCTTTCTAGGTTTTGTTTCTCTCCTCTGGAACCTGTGCACTGTTTCCTTCTGGCCCCAAACAGACCTTGCTTAGTTCTCAGAATGAGGCTTTAAAGGCCCTTGCAGCAAAGGGAAAAGGACTGAAGAAGAATCGGCTCTGGGGAGATTTTCTGTGGCATTTCAGTACTTAAAGGGGGCTTGTAAGAAATATGGGGACAGATGTTTTAGCAGGGCCTGTTGAGGTAGGACAATGGGTAATAATTTTAAACCAAGAGGGTTTATTTAAATCGAATATAAGGAAGAAAGGCTTTTTGCAATGAGGGTCATGAAACACTGGCACAGGTTGCCCAGAAAGGTGGTAGACGCCCCATCCCTGAAAACATTCAAGATCATGTTGAACAGGGCTCTGAGCAATCTGATCTAGTTAAAGATGCCCCTGTCCATGGCAGAGGGGTTAGACTAGATGGCCTTTAAAAGTCCTTCCAACCCAAAAAATTCCTTGACTCCAAGGCCGCTGGCATCCAAACCCTGGAGAACGCGACCTCGGCTGCCCGGGAGGCACCATCGGAAAAATCTGGCTCGGGGGAGCTGAAGCCCCTTGAAGTTCTGTGCCTGGCCGCCGCAGCAGCGCGGGGGGAGCGTGCCGGGGGCTGGAGAGGCGGCGGGGGCCGGTGCGGCACCGCCAGGGGGCAGCGGGGCTCTGCGGCACCGATACCGGCACCGCCGCCCCGCCCCGCCCCGCCCCGCTCCGACCGCCCGGCCCGCGGGGCTCTCCGGCACACCCCGGGCTGCCAAGGGCATCCCGCCCTGCTGCTCCTCCTTTCCTGTGAGGGGCAGGTGCGGCTGCCAGCCGTGCTGTCCCCGGCGAGGTGCGGTGCCTCCCCGCCGTCCCGTGTGCCCAGGGCTGGCGCTCGATGCCCGTGCTCACAGGCAGATCTCTTGGCAAGTCCCATTGTCCCGGGAAGTTCGTAAGAAGCGGGACATTCCTTGAGCTGAGCTGGGTGAAGGGAGGCAGTCGCATTCTCCCTGTGGGGCTGTGGATATTTGAGAGGTGTCAGTGCGCATAGCGCACCCGTGCCCTATGCTGATGGTACGGGAAAGGAATCCTGGGCTTTGGATGGAGCCGTGGCTGGTACAGTGCCGGGACAATGCCCAGCCCCTGCCAAGGCCGGCACCCCATCACCTTCCAGATTTCCCTGGCTATATGCACCTGGAAGGGGTCAGGGATAATCTGTCTGCCAGACCTTGACTGTGCTTGTGCTCTGCAGAATTGCAGCTTGGTTCCAGGGGAACAAGAGCCAGCAGACCATTTTTAACAAGTCAGTCTTGGAAGGCAGGGCTGGGAGAGACAGCTGGTTCCAAGCCTAGTGAGGAGTGATGAGTGGAGGGAATGGGCACTGCTCTGTCCTGGAAGGGTGATACTGTTGCTTCACACAAAATGGAAGAGGCTGTGTCGACTGATGGGAAGGAGCATTTGGCCTCTTCAACAGTAAGAGGAGATTATTTCAAGCTGCTGGTGTTCTTCACGGCGTCTAGGTAGCTGGAACAGAGGCAGGCAGGTCGGTCCCGGCAGGGGGCAAAGGTAGGACCATGGGGTACATGAGGATGGTGGCAGGGGTCTTGAGGAGACAAAGCTTGTGCACCCCACTGCAGGACCAGCTCAGCTCAAGATCTTGTCACGAGTGCTGGCTGGTCCCAAGTGCTGCTGTAGGGCAATCCCGGGGGAAGTGGATGCTCCCAACACAGAGGGAGCAATAGAGGGGCTGGGGGGTGTTGGTACTGCCAATCCCCTTTCTAAGAGACTTCGGGAGGTTTGCTTCCTGCTCCCCAGCAATGTTACAACCTTGATATGCTCAGCTTGGAGAGAGGGAGATAAATGCTGAAATGTCAGGAGGCTGGGAGGGGGGATGCGCTCACAGAGCACTTAATGGGGAAGGATGGGATTACAGGGGTCACGCTAGGTGAGCAGCTTCCTTCGTGGAGCTGATGGTATCAAAGCAGGTGCCCCCGGCTGCAAATACCTTGGGCAAACAAACAGGGCTGTCTAAGAGCAGGTGGGCTCAGGCATGGCAGGGCTGGGGCACACTCAGAGGTGGGGGGCAGGAGGCTTTCTGTGCTCAGGGAGTGGGGCTGCCTTTCCTTCCATAGGGTGAGGGGGGTAATCGAGTAATTGTGTTTCTTTGTACATATGTGAGCTCCCCATACTGGAGACACATGTAAGGGTGTGGAGCCCAACAGGAAGCCAAATGATGCCCCAGTCCAGGTGATGGCTGTAGGATTGCTCTAGGAGTTGTTTTGCTCTGAGCATCTCCCCTCTCTGCTGCTTCAGGGCTCTGCATACTGATACAGCTGGTGATGGATCCCTCCCTTCTTTGGCAGTAGTGGGTAACCCTGCCCCTTGCTGAGCCATGCAGCAGAGATACAGGGCTGTAGTGGAGCTTAATGTACAGCCCATCACGCATGAGCACAGTGGCTGTGCACCCGTGGTGCCACACACTCCACAGCCCTCCCAAACCAGCCTGCTGCTCCTGGTGAGAGGCTTGGGCTGCTTGCTGCAGGGCCTGGCTCAAGTGCAGCCTCGCTGGGCTGGGGCTTGGCTACCTCCTCCCGCTGGTGGCTGGGCCAGACCAGCAGTTCCCAGAGGATGCTCTGATTTCAGAGGTCAGGTTTGAATTGCTTTTTCAGGGATGGAGGAGCAGGATGGGGAGCTGCTCTGCTGAGCGTGGCCAGGAAGTGGTTTATCTTGTGATGCCCTAGCAGGTCCTGCCCCATCAGAGTTCTGGCTGGGTTTCAACTCTTTGTGGCTTAGACCACGGCCCCAGGGCAACTGAGAAGCACAGCTGTGACTGTGCTGTAGGTGGGGCTGGTCCCCTGCTCCATGAGCTCCCTGTTGCTGGTTCCCACGCTGATCCAGGGTAAAGCTCTTTTTCTCTGTGTCTTGGCTGCCTGGGCTTCGAAGGAAGAGAGGAGGACACCCCAGGAAATGCAGCATCCCATTATCCCGGGTTTCAGCGGCACTGCAAAGTGGGAAGAGAGCCATGTGGCACCTTGGTGGCAACAGGAGCAAGAAAAAGTGTCAGCAGAGCCACCTTTCGCTGGGACTACCCCAATGGTGGGTGTGATGAGTGTCCTGTTCTCTGAAGTGTTAGCTGAATGTGCCATCCCTGTTCCATCCTGCCGGGAAGTGGGCAAGGGTACCTCTGCTATTGCCTCAGGGAGCCACCAGGTCAGGGCAGGCACTGATAGAGCTGAGCTAGATTGCAACCAAGGGAAGCAGCAGCAGGATTTGGAAGGGCCAGGCTGCCAGTAATTCCCATCCTCTTCCCATCAACATGCCTTGCAAAGGGAAATGGTGCGGATGCACTGTGTGGGAATGGCCTTCTCTGCTGGAAAAACTGAAGCTGGTGTCACCTCCTGCGTGCTGGTGCTCAGATATTTTCTGGGTCTTCCCCATGCTGCCTCAAGTTTGTTGGGAGCTTGGATGTGTGGCTGTTCACCCACTGAGTGTTCTGTGGGAGGAGAAGAGGCTCCTCCAGCTCCCAGTCCCAGTGCAGATGTTTGGATTCACATCCTGGCACAGGAGTTTGCTCATGCCCAGGGCAGTGTCAGGCTGTGGTAATGTGGCTGCTTGTGGAGTGGACTTGTGTCCACAGTCCCACAGTGCTGTCCAGAATGCAAGAGGGGGCTATTTCCATGAAGGTGCTGCTGTGACAGCTGTGGGTTTTTGTTCTGCAGTACGGGCACAGCTTGAGAAGCACAGTATAGTGTTGGAGTGGGGGGTGTGTGGGTTTAAATTCACAGACATGTAAAGCAGGTGCTAAAAGTGAATATGTTTGGGCTGTGGCAGAGAGGTCCATGCAAGATAGCCTGGGTTGAGGCTCCCTGTAGCTGTCCCACACCGTGCCCTCCTGAGCCCCCTCCTCACACTGGGGCAGTGTTGGCAGCTCTGTGCTCAGCACCCACAGCCCAGATACCCAGAGGTCACAGGTGTCCTGCCCTCTGACCCCTCCGAGGTGCAAATCTAATCACTCTGGGCTGGGCTGTCCCTGACACTGGCAGAACTGTCACTACTGGCCACACATCTCTGCCAGGCTGGTGGCATCCAGGGGAACAGGGCTGCAAGGAGCATATGGGCTGTATCCCAAGGGAATTTAGGATGTCTCAGAGTTATTCTCTCAGGGACATCAGTGACCGAGCCCTAGGCTGGATGGGCAGGATTTATCTTCCATGGTATCCTTCCTGTGATGTCTCTGCATAGGGCCTGTGGGACACCTCACACTGCTCCATACCTCCAGTCCCTGCTCCCCTGACAACCTCTTAGGCAGGCAAAGACCCCCGAGCTGCTGTGCATGAGGTTTTTGGGGCTTGATAGGAAGAGTTGTTACTGATGGGCAGAGTAGAGGATGAAGAGAGCAGAGGGGACAGGGACCTTGTCTGTGGCAGGTCTGTCCCGCTACACCTCCTAATGCTCATCTCACAGGGGAAGGCAGCACGGTCTAGCAGTGGGGCTTGGCCATCGGGAGGTAGGATTTTGAATCCTGGGGAAAAAATGGAAGTAGACTGTTTGGAGAGCTCTCAAACTCCACCTGAACTCCCTGGGCATTTGCACCTGTGCCTAGGCTGACTCCCTGCAGCCCTGACCCATCCCTGCACATCC